GCCGCCGGCGCAAGCCAGGCTGGAGCGCTGGGCAGAGCCAGGGCAGGAACTGCAGGGCCGCGGAGCTGTGGCCCAGGCAGCCCCGCTCAGCGCCTTGCGCTGCAGCATCCCCACGCTGAGGAGATGCTGGGGCCCTGGTGACCACCAGCCAGCCTTCGTCCCAGGGGTTCACCACATTGTAGGTGCTGCCTCCCGCCCCGTGTGCACTTGGTGTGCCTGACCCTGTCTGTCATCCTGGGATGCCAACCCCACACACTGCTCACGAGAGACTAGGCCACGGGCGGCACCACCAGTACCTGATGCCAGATACAGGGCAGCTTTGAGGTCACAGCAGTGCTTTGATCCTCCATCAGCATTTCTAAGCTACAGGCCTTGAGAGGACCAGGGTTGTTTTCTGATGATGACATCTACTCTCCATGGGCAGGATGGAAAGCTAGGCAAACAAGAAGCTTGGGTGGTGCTCGAGGGTCTTGATGTGGGACTGTGTGTCCCCTGCTCCTCGCCATCCCTGCTGCCATCAGTCTTTGTGCTCTGTACATGAACAGAGCAGGTTGCTGGCCGGAGCTCCTGAGCACTGTAGGAAAAAATCTCACCACCTCTTTACTTCTTACTTGTGTTTATAATGGGCCAGGTCCCACAGTAGCGGACCCTGTACAGGCATGAAGCAGAGAAAATAGGGAACTTGCAGTTCAAGCCTGCAATAAGAGGGGAACACCAGCAGAGAAGGAGCAGAAGGAGCCAGTGGACATCACAGAAGCGGAAAGCAGAATGGGAGAAAGTCACTCACTGGTTATTTCTCTCACTCTTTGTTTCTCTTTGTGGCCATGGGGATGATGTAGAAGTGTTAGGGCTCCTTATACCTTATTCAAGTGCTGTGGTGATATGATGTGAAGCACAGTTCTGGTGTAAATTCACCCTGATGGCTCAGATTTGTTTTAGACATTATATTGGATTGATTTTGTAACACCAAACTGTGTGCATGGTTAGATATTGTCTTTCTAACTTTTCAAACTAAACTGAGTATTGTCTGGCCCCTGGCAGCCAGCATAAAGCACAGGGCTGCATAAACTCCATGTTGTGAGAACCAGCAGATTTGACAGAAGTGTGGGTGTGATTAGATGGTGGGTTATTGATTGTTGCATAGATCCAATGTTAATGTTCTTGGAGCCAGGGCTTATATATCTGCATTGCGACCATATACATAAACATAATTGCTGGGGAAGGAAAACATCAAAAAACAAAAGCTGACCAGGAACATGCCAAATGGCATATTTCTTCGTCTTGCAGTTTTGAGGACAAGTCTTGGGAGTTCTTAAGTCTGAGTACGGATTTGTGATTTGGTGGGGCTGGCCATGCTCATGCACTTCCTTGGCAGCCTCTGGGGATGATCCTGGCGCAGGGTGATGCTGGAAGGGTAGCTGTGGGAGGACCTGGGGGCAGCTGTGCGTGGGGACAAGGCATGATCAAGGTCTCTGTCTTTGCCGCTCAAGAGTGGCTGGAGGTGGGGAGGACATTGCTGGGATGAGGGATTTAGCATTAACCTATTTTCAGATCTTTGTATGACATAAACCAGGTCTCCCCCTCCTCAGAAAAGAGAAGAAAAGCTTCTTGAGGCAGGATGAGGAGATGCCTGGGAGCTTGCTGGAAGGGAGAGAGCGCCTCATGCTTCAGGGAGGGCAGGCCGCAACACAGGGGTGCCTGGGGGTACATGGAGAGCAGGGATATGGGGGAGATGCTGGTACATGGGGAGATTGTGGGGGAGGCGAGCGCTGCTGTTACCGCCAGAAGAGCTGCGCTTGTTCCAAATTCCTGTGAAAGTTATTTCCTTGCGCTGCCAGCAGCCTCCTCCTGGGCTTGGCACAGCAGCCAGCGCCATGATTAATTCAAGTAGCATTTCCCCTGGAGCTGCAGCAGCTTTTCCACTGCAGCCGAGAGGCCCCAGCCCCTCGCGTTCCTCTCCCCCATGCTCCGCTCCTCCCCCAGCCCCAGCCTCCTCGATGTCTCCCTCCTTCCTCCGCTGCATCCCAGCCCCCTCTCTGCGACCCCTTCCCTCCCAGTGCTTCGTGCCCCAGCCCACAGAATGCCCCTTGCTCCCCAAAACCGTGCTCACAGCCCTGCTCCTTCTGCCCCACACCTGTGTGCTGTCTCCTCAAGTCCAGGCCTGAGAGCCCCTGAGCCCTGCAAGCCCCCAGGTCCTGCCATACGTGGCTCTCCTTCCCAACCCAGAGGCTCTCCCCAGCCCCTTGGCTCTGCCAGCTGCTGTCCTTGCTCCAGCACCCGGCCCTTCTGCCCCCAGGCTGCCCCCTTTGTGCTGGTCTCCCCTGGGTGGTCCAGCATCTGCCTGGCCTCTCCATCTGCCCTCGTCCTGCAAGCCCCAGCCCCACCTCCCCGGACTGGTTTCCGGCTGCCATTACGGCCCCCTGCACATGTGGCTGGACTCCATCACCTCCCTGTACCACTGCTGCCTTGTTCAAGGCCAGCAGCACCTTGCACTGTGGCGGCCTGGCCTCTGTGTCCTGCTTGGCCCCCTTCTCCGCAGAATCTCTGGTGCCTTCCGGCTCCTGCCGAAGCGCTGGTCTCCCCTCCATGAGGGGTTGGCGCATCCCTCGCGCCTTGCCTGCCTGGGCCTCACTGCTGCCGTGGCCTGGGCTCTGGGTGGGTGGCAGGGTGCCACTAGCCCAGGCTCTGGTGGCAGCTGGTGGCCTCCTCCAGGGTACAGCCTCACCCTCCTGCCTGCGTCCGTGTGCAGACTACTCGCCTCCTTGCTCCTTGAGGCACCCATGCCTTTCTCTGGCTCGCAAAGATGGACTGGAACACCAGGCTGCCCCTATTCCAGGCGCATTGCTGTGCCGGGACCTGAGCCCTGCACCCAGGCTGCGAGTCCCTGTCCCACATCCTTGCCAGCCCTGCCGGAGCCGCGCGGACGCTCCCCCGGGCAGTGCTCCGTGCCGCCCCAGGGCCTGACCCTTGCTCTGCCACGCGTGCGGGATGGTTTTGGGGGCTGAGTGCTGACCCGGCGCCTCCCTCAGGGCCCAGGCGGGCTGGAGGCTGACACACAGCCTGGGGGCCACGACTGCTCCTGAAATAGCAGCCGCGGCCACTCCCGGTTGCTTTGAGCTGGTCAGCAGCCATGCCAGGGCTGGGGAAGGCAGGACGCCTGGCACGCACTCAGGCGAAGGGAGCCATGCGTGGGATCGTTGACCACGCTGGCGCCAGCCTCCTCTCCTCTCCCACCAAGAGCCGTCACTCCTAGGGGCGGGA